AAGTTCAATGCCCTTCAAAGTAACTGAAGTTAAACAGTTTCTAATTCACACATTTTCAACAGAAGACTCTGAATTTTTTTATTTTGAAGTCAGGAAGTCTGAAATTAATCTCAGAAAACTCTGCCGAAAAGACAAGTTCTTGTAGAGTGAGGAGCTATCCTTCATTTATTTGCCATCACCTGGTCTTAGGGAACATAAAATTTCAGCTCTAGAATACATGTATTGAGGTGGTTTTCTAGTCAATCATCCACACAAATGCAAAGAACAGTATATTCCCTGAAATTTTTTATTTTTTCCCCCAAGAAGGGAAGCCCTGACAAGGATATTATTGGTTCACTTTGTATATTTACAGCAGAGTAACTACTACAGAGTCTCACAGAAGTGCAGCTCAGCCTCCTCTCTATCCAGATCTCTCTCCACCCAGAGTTACAATTATCAATGTTCAACTTGAAAAAGCTTTTCTTCAAACACCTCTGGTTAGAATAACATTCAGGAAAGACAATTCAGCCATTATTCACAAAAATATGTGGAGACTTGAGGTCACATCCTAATGCTTGAAACAATAACGTTTTGGAAACCAACCCAATTTTGAATAGAACTCAGCTGTGCATATTCCACAACCAGACAAAAAAACAAAACAAAACAAAAAAAGCTGCAGACACATCCATCACTCAGAAGCAGCTTATTCTCAGCATAGAGACCAACTGCCCAGCTCCTTCAGCAGCCTGCCTGCCCAGTCACAACTTAAAGGGCCTAGGGAAGTGCTGGAAACACACCTCGCTGGAATTCACCACACACCCTTCCCCAACCTTTCAAGTAACTGGAAGAATTCAGCCTTTATGTACCTTTTTGGAAGCCAACAGACTTCCAGCCTCCCAAGAAACCAACTATTGAGACTTTAAGCAAGCTCAGTTTATGCAGCTCTAAGATGATGACAACCCCACCCACCCTTCTCTGCAAAATGCTTTGCAATTGCAAGTGTAGCCATGATTTGATGACCAGAATTACCATACAAATACCCGGCCTCTGGAGCCATTAATTTAGCAAGAAATAAAAAATGTGCTCAACAGGATCATGTGATTGCTCTTTTCATGACTGTTTCTAAAGGTGGAAGAAGGAAAAGCTGCAATGCCTAATCAAAAAAGAAATGTTAAGGAATCAATAAACTGCATCCTGAAACAGAAATCTGAAACCTGCAGAACACCCTGCTGCTCCAGGGCTATCCCCAAGACATTCACATGGCTGAATACCTGGACATGCCAATCTTTGCCCTAGCTGAATAGAAATTTATTACCAGGGAGAGAACTGAATTGCAATGAAAATAAAACTTTTCCAACGAATAAGTAATTTTTATCCTAAGTGAATATAATGCTTGTTTCTACATAAATTGCTCTATCCTCATCATATTTCTCTCCCCTTCACCACTACACCAGTATCATGTTTGTATATCCAGATCAAAAGCTGAATCTACATCCTGTAGGTTATCACCAAGGTGGAACATTTCAGAGTTCATTAGATTGAATTCAGGCAGAACCAAAGGACAGTAGGCATTAAAATAACTTGTGAATTGTTGAAATTCCACTTTACAAGTTTCTGATAATGTTAGGCACTAGGTAGTAACTTAGAAGATTATACCTTACAAGCTGATGCATACAATTCTATATTTTCTTTTTAAAAACATTTAGCTCATACTTTGAAAAGTGACTTCAATGAACAGTCTGACAAAGCAAAGTGGAAATTTGTTTGTAATTTTTCAGCTACCTCTGAAGTTTATGATACTGCAGTTGATTTGTGTTAAGTATTTCAGTAGGGTATAAGAGCTCACTGTCCACCATTGCACATTTAATTATAGCTTATTTGGGGATTACAAAAGGGTTTACAGTGCTTTTACAAAGTAGTATGTCCTCTACCCAATAACAGACTTACAAAATCCTAACTATCCAAGAAAAACTACCATCATGTAGAAAGCTGAGGCATTCCAAAGGCTGCTTCAGTGGACAGAGAAACAGAGATGCCAATATTCCAGGTGATTATTCCATGTCATCAGGGGTTAGCTATTTCAGACTTTCCAAGACAAACAGCAGTACAAGTAAGTGACCCCTACACAATACTCTAGACATTGCTAGAACTTGAAACCACCCACAAACATTGAAAAACAGATGAATGATCCAATGTTTTACTCGTACCATCTTAGCCAGCAGCTAATGCCATAACTTGCTCCCTTCCACACATACTTTTCCCTAACTCAGACATTAATATTTAAAATTTGATTGAGACAGTGTAGCACTAGAATATTATCCTCATGATAATTCCATCAAACAATTCAATGGACAACAATAAGCTTAGAGATGTGGGTTTTCAGATAACAGAGCACTGTTCCCCACTCCAGTTTTTAGATTTTTATTTCTTTTTGGTGTATCAATGCTTGCAATATTGCAAGAAATTTTGAATACATTAAAATACAAAGTTCAGAAGTCACTAAGGTAACCAAAAGGCAGGCGAAGAAATGCACAAAGATGTTAAAATAGTCTCAGTTAAAAAAATTAAAAATCTTCCTATATAAAATAAAGAATGTAGCATTTTCAGATAAAAGTTCTCTTGGGGCTTTTTTGGTGTTAGAATTCTCAAAGGTGTTGTAGATGGAAGCCAGAGGATCAAATAAAAACCAGACACTTCTGTGGATAATGATTTTTTACCACAACTTGTGGTTTCTTTAATATGATGCAAATAAAAGGTAAGAAACTTAAATGTTTTAAGTAAGTTTCCTTTAGAGAGTGAAGATTTAAATTTAGTTCTGAATAGGGTATTTATGATGGAGAAAGCCTAAAAGGCAAAACAGAAAGTTAGCATTTTGCTTCCTAAAGCTACAAAAAGATCCTCTGTAGTAAATGTTTTCCCACTACACTGAATTTGCCTCATCTGTTTGGAGGACAAGAATTTGCGTGACTATTAAATTCTCACCAACAGACTGTTCAAGCAGAAATTTCAACCTGATCCAAGAATCTTCTTTCCTTGCTCTTTCTCAGTGATTTTTCTTATGCGAATGGTGGAATCTCACCATAGTGCTCTCTGCAGGATTATAACAGTCCCTTGCAAATTTTCTTTCTGTAGTAATGCCAGTTCTGTACAAGCTGAACTTCATAACAGCTCTAAAGATAAACTACTGAAATTAGACCCAGACCTTAATTCATGAAGCCAAACCAAAACCAAGCCA